CCCCAAACTGGGACAGTGCCCCCAAACCAGTGCCCCCAGCACCCCAAACTGGGACGGTGCCCCCCCCCAAACCGGGTCCCCCCCCCCAAACCGGGTCAGCACCCCCAAACCTTTGCCCCCCCCGTACACAAGGGGGGTTGGGCCCCCTCCGTGTCCCCCCGTTTTGGGGGGTTTGGGTTGATTTTGGGGTGGGGGGGGGGTTTGGGGGTGTGAAGCCCCCCGGGCTCGAGGCTTTATTTATTTGCTATTTATTGCAGTTCCTTTTAGAATTGACTTTTTTTTTCCCTCTTTTTTTTGGTTTTTCTGTCGAAATAATTAATTATTAATAATAACAATAATAATAATAAACAAACAAAAAAACCACCCCCCAAACCCACACCTTAAAAAAACCCCCACCGAGTTCCCAAATTCCAGAAGTTTGAGACCGTCCCTGGATTTTCCTGGATTTCGGGGAAGGAGCACGGCCACGGCCCTCCGGAATTTCCTCAATAAATCAATTTATTTAAAAGAATATGTTACAATTAATTACACTAAAGGGAACCCGAGGAATGGGAGCAGCAGGAAGAGGGAAAATGGGACAAAGAATGGGGGGCAGGGTTTTGCTTTTGTATTTTTTTGGTTTTTTTTGACCGATTTCTCCCTTTTTTGGGGTTTTTTTTTCGGATTAAAAAATCCACAGGGAGATGGGGAAAATTGGGATCAAAATTGGTTTTTTTTTACCCAAATTATGGGGTGCTGAAGGAGATTTTTAGAGGGGGGATTTTGGGAATTCCCAAACTTCTCCCAGTTTCCCTCCCCCATTCCTGGGTTTTCCACAGCTCAGGGCTCCCGAGGACAACGGAAATCCAATTAATTACAGGGATTCAATTAATGGAATTAATTCCCAGCTGCTCCAGAGCTGAGGATTTGGGATTTTCCCCTATCCCAAAAAAAAAAAATTAAAAAAAAAAAAAATTTTCCCCCATCCCGGCTCCAGGGGGAGGAGTGGGGAAAAACCCTTCCAAAAAAAGGGAATTTTGGGGAAAAATCCCCTTTTGGAGCATTCCAGAGGTGGGGAATGAGGCCAGGATTCCCAAATTCCCAAATCCACCCCAAACCCCGGCGGGACCGGCTCCAGGCCAGCCCAAAACCAGGGAAAAACGGATTTTCCAGGTGATTTTTATCTCCCAAACCATGGGAAAATCCCACTCAAAACCAGGGAAAAACGGGTTTTCCACAGTTTTTCCTTCCGGGAATCGCTCAGCTGCTGGATCCACGGAAAAATCGTGCTCAAAATCAAAGAAAAAGAAGTTTTTCCATGATATTTTTCCTCCCAAAACATGGGAAAGACCCACTGCAAATTAGGGAAAATCTCTTTTCCAGAGGGTTTTTCCCTCTGGGAGCTGCTCATCCACCCAAGACATGGAAAATTCCTGCTCCAAACCAGGGAAAAAATGGGATTTTCCTCTCCTGGGAACGTCCCAGCCGCTCAAAAACAGGGAAAATTAATTTTCCACCTTATTTTCCTCCAGAACTCTGGAAAAATCCTGCTCAAAACGAGGGAAAATGGTTTTTTCCAGGTTATTTCTCCTGCTTGGACACCCAAGTCACGGATCAAAAGTGCTCAAAAATAGGGAAAATTGGATTTTTCTGGGTTATTTTTCCTCCTGGGAGCCGCCCAGCCACTGGATCCAGGGGAAAATCCCACTGGAAATTAGGGAAAATTGGATTTTTCCAGGTTTTTTTTCCTCCTGGGAGCTGCTCATCCCCATCCAGGGGCAGCCTTGGGATCCTGATCCCACCCCAAGGATCTGGGCACACCCAAATCCCTGGGGAAACACCCCCAAAAATTGGGAATACAAACCCACGAGGCATTTCCTTGGAATTTTACTCCTTTTGGATGTTTTTCCTGTTTTTTTTTTTTTTAATCCCTAGTGATTAAAAAGAAAAACCAGACTGGGAGGAGAAAACAGGAAAATCCCTTTAAAAGCTGCTGCCACCCCGTGGGATTTTAAAGGAATTATTCCCATGGATGCCCAGGCAGGAATGGAACATTCCCAGGGTTTTTTCCTGATTTTTTTCCTCCCCTTATTTTTCCACATCAACAACAATTTTTTGATTCCAGTTGTAAAAATTAAAAAGAAAAAAAACTAAATCCCAAAATTCCCAGCCTGGAGCTGGATCCGAGTGGGGAAAAAGGAGCCCCCTCAGGTGGCTTTTCCCAGTTTTTTTTTGTTTTTTTTTTTCCTCTGGAATTCCATAAAGATGATGGGCACGAATGGATTTGGAATTAATGAGATTTAGTTTGGGGCGGGGCGGGGCTTTAATACAATAAGGGATTTTTTTTGGGAATTTTTTTTGGAAAAGCTGCCGGGGTTAAGTGGCCGCGTCCCTTTGCTGTGACCTGACCAGCTGGAAAAGGTTCTGGAAAAGAAGGAAAAGGGGAGGAGTGAAGGGGGAAGAACCCCGGAATTCCCAATCCTGATCCCAGAGGGAATCACAATTCCCCAATCCTGATCCCAATGGGAATCACAATCCCAATCCTGATCCCAGTGGGAATCACAATCCCAGTCCTGATCCCAATGGGAATCACAATCCCAGTCCTGATCCCAATGGGAATCACAATCCTGATCCCAATGGGAATCACAATTCCCCAATCCTGATCCCAATGGGAATCCCAATCCTGATCCCAGTGGGAATCCCAATTCCAATCCTGATCCCAATGGGAATCCCAATCCTGATCCCAATGGGAATCACAATTCCAATCCTGATCCCAATGGGAATCCCAATCCTGACCCCAATGGGAATCACAATTCCAATGACAATTCCAATCCTAATCCTGATCCCAATTCCAATCCCAATGCCAATTTAAATTCCAATTCTAATCCCAATTCCAATTTCAATCCCAGCTCAAATTTAAATTCCAATCAAAATTTAAATTCCAACCCCAATCCCAATTTAAATTCCAATCCCAATTTAAATTCCAATTCTAATCCCAGTCCCAATTTAAATTCCATTTCCAACCCCAATCCCAATTTAAATTCCAATCCAAATTTAAATTCCAATTCTAATCCCAATCCCAATTTAAATTCCAATTCCTCGCCCCATTCCTGCTCCCAATGGATTTCCTGGCATCCAGGGCTTCCCAGAATCAGGAGGAAAAGGTGGAAAATTCCCACATTTCCACATCCCAACCCCTGGGACAACCCACGGGAGCAGCCCACGGATGCAGGGCAGGAAAATTCTCCTTAAAGTGGGAGGAGGAGGGAAATGGGATGGAGAAGGAAGGCTTTTCCCAGATTTATCCTGGCATTCCCAACTCCCAAGGCTTTTCCCAGATTTATCCTGGCCATTCCCAGCTCCAGGAGCCTTTTCCCAACACCTGCAGCTCTTTTTTCCATGAATCCCCATCCTGGGATTACCCAGTCGCTCCCTGTGGGAATGACGGAGCAGGAGAAGCTTTTCCCACGGAAAACCACCCGGGAAAGGGAAAAGTTTGGAATTCTCACCTCCTTCCTCCACTTGAGCTCGCAGAAGACTCGCTCGAAGCACTCGTGCATGTAATTGAACTGCCAGGGAAAAACGGGAATCAGGGAAAATCCAGGAGATCCAGGGGGAAAATCGGAATTCCGGGCAGGAGCTCCTGGTTCCTGTCGGGAGGTTCTGGATCCAGCAGCTCCAGGGAAAATCCAGAGGCTCTGGGAAGGATCCAGCAGCTCCAGACAGGAATCAGGAATTCCAGAGGGGAGTCAGGAGCCTCCTGGTTTTGGTCTGGAATTTCTGGATCCAGCAGATCCCGGGAAAAACCAGGAGCTCCAGAGGAATTTTGGAGAGGAGCTCCAGGGAGGAACCAGGAATTCCAAACAGGAGCCAGCAGCTCCAGAGGGGGTCTGAGGAATTCCAGGTGGGATTTGAGGGAATTCTGGGTGGGACTGGGACACTCACGATGCCATTCCCAAGGGAATTCCGGGTGGGATTGGAGGGAATCCTGGGCAGGATTGGGATACTCGTGATCCCATTCCCAAGGGGAATTCTAGGCAGGATTTGAGGGAATTCCAGGTGGGATTGGGACACTCACACATCCCATTCCCTAAGGAATTCCAGGCGGGATTCAGGACACTCCCACATCCCATTCCCAAGGGAATTCTGGGCAGGATTTGTGGGAATTTCACTCACACATCCCATTCCCAAGGGAATTCCGGGTGAGATTTGAGGGAATTCTGGGTGGGATTGGAGGGAATTCCGGGCGGGATTGGAGGGAATTCTGGGTGGGATTTGAGGGAATTCTGGGTGGGATTGGAAGGAATTCCGGGTGAGATTTGAGGGAATTCCAGACGGGATTTGAGGGAATTCTGGGTGAGATTGGAGGGAATTCTGGGTGGGATTTGGGTGGGATTGGAGGGAATTCCGGGCAGGATTTAGGCGGGATCGGAGGGAATTCCGGGCAGGATTCGATGGCGTTCCGGGCGGGATTTGGGTGGGATTGGAGGGAATTCCGGGCAGGATTTAGGCGGGATCGGAGGGAATTCCGGGCGGGATTCGACGGCGTTCCGGGCAGGATTTGGGTGGGATCAGAGGGAATTCCAGGCGGGATTCGATGGCGTTCCGGGCGGGGCTGGCACGGGACACTCACGTAGGGCGTGAAGATCTTGACCCAGCGCGGTTTCTTCTCGGCGCGCGCGTACTCGAAGCAGAAGGCCATGCCCTCCTCGTCCGTGTCCCAGCGCTGCATCTCCTCCCACTCGAAGGCGATCACCTGGTTCTGCGCCATTCCCGAGCCCCCGCTGAGCCGGGAGCCCCCCGGAGCCCCCGGGATGGAGGGAGCATTCCCGGAGTCATCCCGGAGAGCAGCGGCTGCGCCCCCCAAATCCCGGGAGAGCCCAGGGACGAGCAAATCCAAAGGGGTGAGGGCAGCGACGGTCCCAGGGAAAATGCCAGGGAGTTGGGTGATCCCAGGGAAAATTCCAGGGAGTTGGGTGATCCCAGGGAAAATTCCAGGGAGTTGGGATGGTCCCAGGGAAAATTCCAGGGAGTTGGGATGATCCCAGGGAAAATTCCAGGGAGTTGGGATGGTCCCAGGGAAAATTCCAGGGAGTTGGGATGGTCCCAGGGAAAATTCCAGGGAGTTGGGATGATCCCAAGGATATGGAAATGACCTCAGGGACTGGAGATGACCCCAGGGATGACCCCGGGAATTCGGGATGACCCCGGGGATTGGGGATGACCCCGGGGATGACCCCAGGGATTGGGAATGACCCCAGGGATTTGGGGATGACCCTGGGGATGACCCCAGGGATTGGGGATGACCCTGGGGATGACCCCAGGGATTTGGGAATGACCCCAGGGATTGGGGATGGCCACAGGGATGACCTCAGGATTTTGGGATGACCTGAGGGTTTAGGGATGACCCCAGGGATGGCCGCAGGGATTTGGGGATGAGCCCGGGGATGACCCTGGGGATTGGGGATGACCCGGGGGTGGCCGCAGGGATGACCCCAGGGATTTTAGGATGACCTGGAGGTGGCCGCAGGAATTTTAGGATGACCCCAGGATTTTAGGATGACCCCAGGGATGACCCTGGGGATTAGGGATGACCCCAGGATTTGGGGATGACCCCGGGGATGACCCCAGGGATTTTAGGATGACCCTAGGGATTTGGGGATGACCCCAGGGATGACCCCAGGGATTTGGGGATGACCCTGGGGTTTGGGGATGACTCCGGGGGTGGCTGCAGGGATTTGGGGATGAGCCCGGGGATGACCCCAGGATTTGGGGATGACCCCAGGATTTGGGGATGACCCCAGGGATTTGGGGATGACCCCAGGGATGACCCCAGGGATTTCAGGATGCCCCCAGGGATTCGGGGATGACCCCAGGATTTGGGGATGCCCCCAGGGATTTGGGGATGCCCCCGGGGATGCCCCCAGGGATTTCAGGATGCCCCCAGGGATTTCAGGATGCCCCCAGGGATTCGGGGATGCCCCCAGGATTCGGGGATGCCCCGGGCCGCACCTCCAGCTGCCCCTCCTCGGTGCAGGCGTGCAGTTTGAAGTGGCGGATGCTGATGGCCGAGATGACGTGGCCCTTGCGGCGCGAGTCGCACGAGCAGTGCGGGAAGGTGATCTCGTTGTAGCCCTCGCACGTCCGCAGCATGTTCAGGTACTGCGGGAACGGCCGTCCCGGGAGTCACCGGGGCTCACCGGGGGTCACCGGGAGTCACCGGGAGTCACCGGGGGTCACCGGGGGTCACCGGGAGTCACCGGGAGTCACTGGGGCTCGCCGGGAGTCACTGGGGGTCACCGGGAGTCACCGGGGGTCACCGGGGCCCACCGGGGGTCACCGGGAGTCACCGGGAGTCACCGGGGGTCACCGGGGGTCACCGGGAGTCACCGGGGGTCACCGGGGCCCACCGGGGGTCACCGGGAGTCACCGGGAGTCACCGGGGGTCACCGGGGTGCCACCGGGGTGCCAGGGAGTGACCAGGACCCCTGGGAGTCACCGGGACCCCCAGGAATGCACCGGGGTGCCAGGGAGTGACCAGGACCCCTGGGAGTGCACCGGGATCCCATGGGAGTCACCGGGGTGCCAGGGAGTCACTGGGATCCAGACACAGGCAGGGATCCCATGGGGACAATCCAGGGATCCCATGGGGACATTCCAGGGATCCCATGGGGACAATCCAGGGATTCCATGGGGACATTCCAGAGATTCCATGGGGACATTCCAGAGATTCCATGGGGACAATCCAGGGATCCCATGGGGACATTCCAGGGATCCCATGGGGACAATCCAGGGATCCCATGGGGACAATCCAGGGATCCCATGGGGACATTCCAGAGATTCCATGGGGACAATCCAGGGATCCCATGGGATCCCAGGGATTCCCTAGGGATCCAGACACAGGCAGGGATCTCATGGGGACATTCCAGGGATCCCACGGGGACATTCCAGGGATCCCATGGGGACATTCCAGGGATCCCACAGGGACATTCCCGGGATCCCACGGGGACATTCCCGGGATTCACCCACCATGACCATCTTCCTCTGCTCGCAGAGCTTCTGGAGCTGGTAGGATTTCTCCTCGGCTTTGATGTAGCCTTTCTTGACGTCATCAACGGCCTGGGGACGGCAGGAAAAACGGGATAAAACCGGGAAAAATCCGGGATTCGGGATGGCAGGAGGAGGAGCCGCCTCCTGCTGCACCCTCGGGGGTTCTGATCCCAAATTCCAGGCTCCGAGGGGGGATTTTCCCATCCCAAATCCCATGGGAGGTCCTGGAATATCCACAGGGAGTTTGGGAAAAGGTCCCTTGGCGTGGGAGGATGGATTTGGGAAGGCTGGGAATTCTTGGGAACAGAAGAGGATGATCCAGGCACCAAATCGGGGGAATTTGGGTGGGAAAAGGGGATTTCCTTGGGGATGGTAGTGCTGGAATTCCATCCCTGGAATTCTCCAAATTCGGGATTTGGCAGCCAGCTGGATTTGCCTCTGGAATTCCCACCCCGATCCCTGCATCCCAAAGGACAGCAGGTTTTGGAGCGATTCCAGGAGTGCCTCAATCCCACAAAAAACGGGTGGAATTCCCCCAAATTGGGATCAACCGTTGGGCCCAAGCAGCTCCCAGTGACCCTTCCCAACCTGAACGGGAATTCCAGCTGGGAATTCCTCACCTGTGGAGCAATGCTGGGAGCTCGGGGCGCCTCAATCCCACAAAACCAGGAGGAATGAGGAAAACTGGGATCAACCACGGCACCCAACCACCTCTCCTAACAGGAATGAGAATTCCTGCCGGGAATTCCTCACCTGCAGGACCTTGGGGTGCCTCAATCCCATAAAAACAACCAAAACCCCAAAATCCAACTTTGGGATCAACTGTGGGACCCAAACACCCCGTGAGAATTTTCCCCAGCCATAGGGGCATTCCAGAGGAATTCCAGGTGGGAATTCCTGGTGGGAATTCCTCACCTGGGGAACCCTGGAGTGGCCAGAGAATTCTGGTTACTGCAATCCCATAAAAACAACCAAACCCCAAAATCCAACTTTGGGATCAACTGTGGGACCCAAACGCCCCGTGAGGAGTTTTACTGACCCACAGGGGCACTCCAGAGGAATTCCAGGTGGGAATTCTGGACCTAGGGGAACCTTGGAGTGCCTCAAGACCCTTGGGGTGCCTCAATCCCATAAAAACAACCAAACCTCATCCAACTTTGGGATGAACTCTGGGATCCAATGACCCCACAAGAATTTTCCCCATCCACAGGGGCATTCCAGAGGAATTCCAGGTGGGAATTCCTCATCTGGGAAACCTTGGGGTGGCCTGAGAACCTTGGTGTGCCTCAAGAACGTTGTGGTGCCTCAATCCCATAAAAACAACCAAACCCCAAAATCCAACTTTGGGACCAACTATGGGACCCAACCACCCTGTGAGGAGTTTTCCCACCCTCAGGGGCATTCCAGAGGAATTCTAGGTGGGAATTCCTGTTGGGAATTCCTCACCGGGGGGACCTTGGGGTGGCCTGAGAACCTTGGTGTGCCTCAAGAACTTTGAGGTGCCTCAATCCCATAAAAACAACCAAACCCCAAAATCCAACTTTGGGACCAACTATGGGACCCAACCACCCCGTGAGGAGTTTTCCCACCCTCAGGGGCATTCCAGAGGAATTCCAGGTGGGAATTCCAGGTGGGAATTCCTCACCTGGGGAATCCTGGGGTAGCCAGAGAATTTTGTGGTGCCTCAATCCCATAAAAACAACCAAACCCCATCCAACTTTGGGACCAACTATGGGACCCAACCACCCCGTGAGGAGTTTTCCCGACCCTCAGGGGCATTCCAGAGGAATTCCAGGCGGGAATTCCGGACCTGGTGGAAGAAGTAGGCCACGGCCAGGTCGTTGTCGTTGAGCAGCGCCTCCTCCTCGGTGGTGAAGAGCCACTTGCGCAGGGTCAGGCACGTCCCCGGCACGGCCGAGGTGTAATTCTGCACGTAGAGCTTGTGGGGGAACTCGTTGGGAGCCAACTTCCGCACTGGGATCGGGCCCGGAAATCCCGGAGAGGCCGCGGAATGCCGGGGTCAGGGCGCGGGGAGGACGGGGATGCCCGGAGAGGCAAAAAGAATCGGCCTTAAAATGGGGTTTTCGCACGGGGAGCAGGCAAAAATGGTCACAAATCCTTCCAGAGTGATCCCAAATCCTTCCTGAATGTCCCCAAATACTCCAGAGTGATCCCAAATGATCCAGAGTGATCCCAAATACTCCAGAGTGATCCCAAATCCTTCCAGAGTGATCCCAAATACTCCAGAGTGATCCCAAATCATCCAGAGTGACCCCAAATACTCCAGAGTGATCCCAAATCCTTCCAGAGTGATCCTAAATCCTTCCAGAGTGATCCCAAATCCTTCCTGAATGTCCCCAAATACTCCAGAGTGATCCCAAATCATCCAGAGTGATCCCAAATCCATCCAGAGTGATCCCAAATCCTTCCAGAGTGATCCCAAATACTCAAGAGTGACCCCAAATCCTTCCAGAATGTCACTAAATTATTCCAGAATGATCCCAAATCATCCAGAATTACCCCAAACCCTTCCAGAGTGATCCCAAATACTCCAGAGTGATCCCAAATCCTTCCAGAGTGATCCCAAATCCTTCCAGAGTGATCCCAAATCCTTCCAGAGTGAAAATACTCCACAGTGATCCCAAATCCTTCCAAAGTGATCCCAAATCTTTCCAGTGATCCCAAATACTCCAGAATCTCCCAAAATCCTTCCAGAGTGACCCCAAATCTTTCCAGAGTGATCCCAAATCCTTCCAGAGTGATCCCAAATTCTTCCAGAGTGAACCCAAATCCTCCAGCATGGTCCCAAAATCTTCCAGCATTATCCCCGAATCCTCCAAAACGACCCCGAGCCTTTCCAAAATTATCCCTGAATCCTTCCTGAATGATCCCAAATCCCTACAGAAGCCCTGGAATCTGGAGGAACATCCCAAAAATCCCGGGTGTGGTTCTGCACGGAGAGCTTGTGTGGGAACTCATTGAGAGCCAACTTCTGCACTGGGAAAAGCTGGGAAATTCGGGAAAGATCCCCTCCAATTGTGCCAGGGGAAGTCCAGGCTGGATATTCGGGAATATTTCCCCATGGAAAAGGTGATTAGGTGTTGGAAGGGGCTGCTCAGGGCAGGGCGGAGCCACTATTTCTGGGAATGATCCCAAAAATTCCTGGAAGTGGCACACGGGGAATGGGATTTGGTGGGATTGGCCTAAGCCTCAGGGGGCTTTTCCAGCCAGGACAATTCCCCATCCCTGGGAGTGCCCAATTCCAGCTTGGATCAACCTGGGACAGCGGGAGGTCCCAACATCCCAGGGATCTTTATGACCTTTTCCATCCCAAACCATTCCAACATTCCCTGTAAGCTTTAATGGGATTTTAGGGATAAATCCTTCCCCCATCCCAGGTCATTCCATGGAATTCCCCACCCCTGGAATCATCCAAATCCAGGCTGGAGCAGCCTGGGGTGGTGGGAGCCATCCCTGCCCCACAAATTCCACAACCCCACGCCATGCACCTGCGTTTTCCTCCATTCCCATTTTTTTTTTTTCCCTAAATCCCACGGAATTCCGGGCTCACCGAAGGAGTGGTTGATGACCTCGAAGAGGGCGAAGTAGTTGGCGGTGACGCTGTCCATGCCCACCTTGGCAGCCACCGCCTGGAAAACGCCGGGAAAACGGGATCAGCGCCAGCCGGGCGTTGCCGGGAATTCCCTGGCCACGGAAAACCCGGTCGGAACGGGGCCAGCAGAACCAGGCCAGCTTCTCATTCCCGTTTTTCTCCCCCCGTTCCCGGGGATGTCGAGGCTGTGGGGTCTCCAAATTCCAGCCTGGACTCCCCTCCAAGGAAAAGGAGTTGGGGAAATTCCTGCCTGGGATCATCCCAAAGTCGGCGTGGAATTCCTGAACACACCCAAATCCTGTTCATTCTGGAATTCCTGCTCTCTGGCATCTCCTTTTTCCAAAGGGTCTGCCCTGGGTTGTTTTATTCCCCATAATCCATGGATCCAGTGGATGCAAATCCTCAAAAAATGGGGGAAAATCCAGGTGGGAAAAGAGGAAAATCCAGGTGGGAAAGAGGAAAATGCAGGTGGGAAAGAGGAAAATCCAGGTGGGGAAGAGGAAAATCCAGGTGGGAAAGAGGAAAATCCAGGTGGGGAAGAGGAAAATCCAGGTGGGAAAGAGGAAAATCCAGGTGGTGAAATGAAAATTGAGGTGAAAAGATGGAAGCTCCAGGTGGGAAAGAGGAAAATCCAAGTGGGAAAAAGGAAAGGAAAATCCAGGTGAGGGGAAGGAAATTCCAGCTGGAAAAACAGGAAAATCCAAGGGGGGTGGAGAAATCGAGTTGAGGGGATGGAAATTCCTGGTGGGAAAGAGGAAAATCCAAGGAAATTGAGTGGAGGGGATGGAAATTCCCGGTGGGAAGGGCAATTCCAGGTGGGAATGGGCTCACCTGGTACACCTGGTCCGTGGTGCTGTTCTTCTTCACCCTCACCGTCACCGTGGTGACGTCCGGGAGCGCCACCCGCAGCTCCACGTCGGAGACGCCGTTGTAGTTCTGGGAAAAAAGGGGAAATTCCCCCCAAAAAATCAGGAAATCCCTGTTTTCCCAGAGGTTTGCGATCCCTCAAAATCCCCCAGTGGGAATTCAGAGTAGGAGGAGGGATGGGGTTGGGTTCTTCTCACGAGGGGCAGGATGAGGGAATGGCCAGGGAGCTCCAGGCGGGATATTTGGGGAAATTCCCCCATGGAATTCCTTCATCCCTTCATCCATCGTCACCCTGGGAATTGTCCCAAATTTGGGGCTTTGGGACCAATTCACCCCCTGGAATTCCCACTCATTCCCTGGATCCTGAGGGATTGTGGGGTTTGGAGGAATTCTGGGAGCTTGGGGTGCCTCAATCCCATAAAAAATGGGCAGAATTGTCCCAAAAATCTGTGGATGTGACACTTGGGGACAGGGATCAGGGGTGGCCTTGGGGACAGAGGGACCTGAGGAGCTCCAAGGGCTTTTCCATGGAAGCATTTGGGGGTTTTTTTCCCATGGAATTCTGATGGACTCCATAAATTTCAGGTGGAATTGTCCCCAAAACCCGTGGATGTGACACCTGGGGATAGGGATCAGGGGTGGCCTTGGGGACAGAGGGACGGGAGGGGTTTTCCCACCTTGGTGATTCCATGGAAGGGTTTTTTTCCATGGAATTCCGCGGGATGATGTCACCCACCTCGTCCGACTCCGACAGGAACTCCTGCATGATGTCGCTCTCGCCGATGACCCGGATGGAGCACACTGCGGGACACGCAGGATGTCACCCAGAATGTCACCCGGAATGTCACCGGGACATGGGAATGTCCCCTCCAGGGGTGGCCCACAACCTCCTCCCTCATCCTGAGGGAATTCCTGCACCTGGGCCACCTCCTGTCCTCTAGGTCACCATTAACTCCATGTTCTCCATGTCCTGGTGTCCCTCATGGATCCAGATCTTCCCCACGGTGACTGAGTGTCCCCTGGGCCAACTCCTGTCCTCTGGGTCATCCTTAACTCCATGTTCTCCGTGTCCTGGTCCCCCTCTTGGATCCACACCCTCTCCAAGGTGTCCCCTGGGTCACCTCCTGTCCCCTGGGCCACCATTAACTCTGTGTTCTCCATGTCCTGGTGTCCCTCATGGATCCACACCCTCTCCAAGGTGGATCCACCCCAAAATCCCACCCAACCACCCCAAACCCACAAATGGAGCAGGAATCCCCCCTGGGAATGCTGGGGAGGGGTTTTGGGATGAGGAAGGATTTGGGATGAGGAAGGATTTGGGATGAGGAGGAATTTGGGATGAGGAAGGATTTGGGTGAGGGGTTTTGAGATCAGATATTTTGGGATGAGGGATTAGGGTGAGGAGGGATTTTGGGATAAGGATGGATTTAGGGACAAGGAGGGATTTTGGGCTGTGGGATTGGGATGAGGGTGTATTTAGGGACCAGGAGGGATTTTGGGGTGTGGGATTGGGGTGAGGGTGTATTTAGGGACGAGGATGGATTTTGGGGTGTGGGATTGGGATGAGGGCGTATTTAGGAACCAGGATGGATTGTGGGCTGTGGGATCGGGGTGAGGATGGATTTTGGGGTGCGGGATTGGGGCGAGGGCGTATTTAG